TTTCGAATAGGGGCTATTCATGCGATTATGGTTTCTCATCGGAGATTTGGCACTACCTGAAGCCTTTTATTTCAGTGATATTTGGAGTCATTCCAACATCCCTGGTTGTATCAACTACCATTTGTTTGCTGATTGAAGCCAGAAAAATTGTTTCCCGGAGCAGGGAAAGTTTGAAGTGGCAGGGGATCATGACAACAGTCCTTACAGCCACAGTCTTCTGCTTGTCCCTCCTACCATATACTGCTTACTGTATTGGGGAATCTATCATTAGCGTACATGACAAGAGCAAGAGTTCACTCCACACCACTTTTTTTAGAGTTGCGACCTCGCTCCTGTCTTTAAACACCATCAGTAATTTCTACATCTATTGTCTGACCGTGTCTAGCTTCAGAGCATTTATCTGGTCGAACTTGGAGCTATCTTATCAGTACATAACCGATTTTTCAGGAGGAAGGGAAAGAACTGAAATGAACCGAGGGAGGGCAAGAACAGGACCGAACATTGGAAAAGTGAATCCTGGAGGTAATCAACAAACACCAGTTTAAGGGGGCAGGGGGGGGTCTTCATGGAAATTTTCTCAAAATCGACTTTTCAGTTGTTTCTGATAGATGGGAGTGATATCTATCAGATGCTTTTAATCCGATAGAAAAATATTGCTCCTAGCAGAAATTATCGCCGGTAGAAGGTCAGCGCTTGTGTGTAATTGTATTGCGCGAGCGATTTTTGATCGCGTGCCCTGAAAATCGAGTCTAAAAATCTATCTTCTCCTACATTTTTTGAGCAATCACCCTCAAACTTTCAGGATATGTTCTAAGGATCATTTAGAAGGGATTGTCCGGGCAAAATTTTGAGATAGGCCTTTAAACATTTTTTATTCGATTTTGAAAATCTTGGACCTGGTTTTTTGACGATTTTTCGAGGTCCAAGATTTTTAAAATCGAATAAAAAATATTTAAAGGCCTATCTCAAAATTTTGCCCGGACAATCCCTTTTAAATGATCCTTAGAACATATCCTGAAAGTTTGAGGGTGATTGCTCAAAAAATGTAGGAGAAGATAGATTTTTAGACTCGATTTTCAGGGCACGCAATCAAAAATCGCTCGCGCAATACAATTACACACAAGCGCTGACCTTTTACCGGCGATAATTTCGGCTAGGAACAATATTTTTCTATCGGATCAAAAGCATCTGATAGATATCACTCCCCTCTATCAGAAACAACTAAAAAGTCGATTTTGAGAAAATTTCCATGAAGACCCCCCCTGCCCCCTTAAATGTGGTAGTACAGTTTAAATGTGAATAAGATCATTATTTGTTATTTGACTTATTCATTATTGTTTCATTCATTATGAGGTAGAAGATGCTGTTACGTAACGGGGATTGTTTGCTCGATGCATTAGAATCATAAAACCATTTTTTTAAACGTACTTTGAAAAAGTGATTTCAAGTGATTTTAACTGTTACGGTCGAATTTGTCAAAAACTTTGAAATTTTGAACATGAACATAATAATTTTATAACTAACTTGTAACTATAGTAAGTATATAAAATAACTAACTATTGTTAGTTACAAAATTATTATGTTCATGTTACGTTCAAAATTCCAAAAACAAACTTTAAAATTGTTTGTAGCGCGATGCACTACTTGGTCGCGCGCGCATCAAATAATGCTTCTCGCTACCACTTCGGTAGATCGGCGAGATGCACCACTGTGCCTCACCGAGCTGCGAAGGATTGACATCGTGAATCAATAAAATTGTGTGATTTTTGTTTAATCATTTGCAAAATATTTGTATTGTATTCGTTTAGGTTTTATTTTCTCGAAAAATACTTTTCATACGTTGCATGACCCGCCGCGCACGAGTGCGCGGCTCCCCTGTATTGTAAAAGCGATAAAGTAAAACAATTTAGTGAAACGACCGTGGGGGTCAAAACTTGATACAAAGCATTCTTGCTTCGTATTCTTGCTTTACAATTAATAACTTGTAGGTTTATAACCTACCAGGACGCGCGCCGAGTTGGACTTGTCGACGGTCCAATGCAATATATGAAACAAATATTTTACGAGTATCACCCGTTAATTAATAACGAATATCAACTTTGCATTACTGTCATGCATGTACTGTATATATATACTATTAACATAGCCGTGTGTCTACGCGTACTGCGTGACGCGCTTGTTTCACAGGTAGAATAAACAAACCTCGCGCGCGCGGCGCTTACATCTGCACCTGAGAATCTCTCAGCAATGTGTGGCTGTCTGCGCGGCGGGCTGTGTATTGTGTATATAGCTGAATTTAAATTTAGATTTATTTGTAAATGTATAATAATATTAAATATGTTTTGATTGATTGTGGTAAATAAAAATTTTTGTTTTACTAAAATTTTTGTTTTACTAAACTGGCACCAAGATTTGTGGTGCCAGTGTGTGGCCGTGGATAGAGCCTTCTTTGCCGCTTTCGGCGGTCGCACGCTACTGCAAGCGAGAGGGCTCTGGTTAAAGCAATATATACTATATACTGTAAGTAAGTAAGTCATCATCCGCAGCTTTGAGTTTTGAAATATATTTTTGTCAATTGTCATCGCGATCGGCCGGTCGCGGTTTTAGGCTTGAGTTCCTTGCTCCAAGAGTAGTAAATCGGAAGCTAGTAAAGCTTTTACAGGCAACTGGCTCTTAACTTTTTGCCAACTACTTTTGGTCATGGTTTAAGTGCTGTCTCACATTTGGAACTTGCACGGGTATAATTTCAATATCCTACGAGATCAGCATGCTAAATTGTAAATTATCTCGCAAAATATCGTTTATCTTAACAATATTTAGAGTTTATGGTTTTGGCACGGCGCACCGCTTATAGCTTTTTCGTTTTCGGCGCTGTGTTGCTACACGCTGTATAGCATGTGGGTCAAGCGCAGTGTCGCGCCTAATCAGCAAAAGCAAAAAGATTGTCATACGTTGCATGCATGACCCGCGCGCCGCGCACGAGTGCGCGGCTCCCCTTGTATCGTTGAAACTCTATAGTGAAACGACAGTGGGGGCGGGGCCGGGGGTAATTACGACGTGATACAAGCAAAAGAGTTTTTAAAATAAATTCTTTTAACATACTCTGTTCTACCAATCAGTTCTGACTGTTGATATTCTTTAAATTTATTTTTGTATCTCAACAATAATGTTGGGTTTTTATTGTAACGCAATGCACTTCTGGGCCGCGCCGCGCATCCAATAACGCTTCTTGCAATGCAACCTTTTGATTCACGATGTCAATCCTTCGCATCTGGTTTTGACGATACAGGGGGAGCCGCGCACTTCGTGCGCGGCGGGTCATACAACGTATGACGAATGCAGATAGGTGAGATGCGAAGGATTGACATCTTGAATGTTGAATCAAAGTTTTTAATATGACGTAGAATTATAGCGATTCCCGTGCAGCCTAAGAATGCGCGTTTGAAGAACATGCTAGCTCTTTTTATTTTGTTAGTCGGGCGAAATCTTGGGTTGTACTGGACCTAACAACAAACAAGTTTATTATCGGATGTCTACTTATAATATTTATTATGATATCATTATTCATTGTAATGCCGTAACACGTAAGCAATCAAATTTAAATTTTGTTTCACTTAAATGCTCGACGCGCGTGCATGCGCGTTGAAGAACCGCGTTTGCGCGAAAATTTGTAGACTTTTGATCAGATCATATAATTTGTCGTTCGCGCGTGACGTGGCATCTCTCATTAGTTGTGCAATACTGTGCACAAATGTACTCGCTGTACGTGATATGTCAATAGATAGACAAAATCTCTATGGAGAAAATGGAAAAACCCATGAGTAATTCTCCATTTTCTCCATTTTCTGCCATGAATTTTGTCTTCGAAATTTCATCTTTAACACCATTTAACACCTAAATTGGACATCCTAACATGTTTATTTACGCTTACTAGGGGCGTAACAAGCTTATGAAAGCTCATAGTAGGCTACTAGATGCTTATACTAGGTTAGTAGAGGCACACTTCAGGCAAACTCATAATTACTCAAGCCTAGTGTAAACTTATTTCTACAGGCTACAGCAGGAGTGAGTAATAGGGGAGAGTAATAGGCACTGAGAAGTGAGACCTACATCCTCGACAGTCGAAACAAGCTCGCACTGCAAAGGGGAGGCCTGCCTTCCGAGATCGCATTACCAGGGGGAAGCCTCGAGTCCAAATTTGTGTATCGAGGGGTAGGTGCAGACTTCGATAAACCGAAAAACCAAAAAAATATTTTCGGCTAATAATGAAGAGGGTAGCATGAAACGTGGAGAAAAGTGGTTTTTAGAAAAACTTTGAAAAATTTTGACTTAGAAAATTTTCGGCCCGAGTCATTCTCGATACGTACCTCTCGTATCGAGAGCTCCCGATTCCGAGCTCGTGTTGCAAAGGGGAGGCCTGCCTTCCGAGATCGCATTACCAGGGGGAAGCCTCGAGTCCAAAATTGTGTACCGAGGGGTAATTTTCTAAGTCAACATTTTTCAAAGTTTTTCTGAAAAACACTTTTCTCCACGTTTCATGCTACTCTGTTCATTATTTGCCGAAAATATTTTTTCGGTTTTTCGAAGTCCACACCTTCCCCTCGATACACAATTTTGGACTCGAAGTAATGCGATCTCGGAAGGCAGGCCTCCCCTTTGCAACAAGAGCTCGGAATCGGGAGCTCTCGATACGGGAGGTACGTATCGAAAATGACTCGGACCGAACATTTTCTAAGTCAACATTTTTCAAAGTTTTTCTGAAAACCACTTTTCTCCATGTTTCATGATACTCTGTTCATAATTGGCCGAAAATATCTTTTTTTAAAATAATTTTTCTCGAAATTCTAAATTTTTCAGGTTTTCAATGGCATAAAATGGCATAAAATGGCATAAAATGGAGACTATTTCTATGGAGAAAATGGAAAAACCTATGAGTAATTCTCCATTTTCTCCATTTATGCCATTGGCCCCCCCCCCCCCCGACAAAATCAAAACTCAAATTTCAAAACATTGAAGCAAAAATTTGCAAAGTACAGTTTTCAATAAAACGACATATTAAGTCATAATAACCATTTCAAACAACGTTTTTTCACAACAAAGTTCAAAGGAATAAATGAGAAATAAATCCGGGAAACTAACATATGTAACCCTTAAAAAGGAATGATCATTCATTTAAGCTGTTTGCATTAGCAATTCTGTTTTATGACAAAAAATTCATGAAGAAATAATAGACAAACTACAAATAGTAAATACGGTATGAATGTTAATTAGATTAACGCTTCATTCTGAATTTAATAGAAAAAGTAGTAGTGGAACAGCAATACTAAGGTAATGGGACTACTGCGGACCCTCTACCGGCCAAACCTTGTTAACAAAGCCGCAGTCAAGGTTCGGTGAACGGTAGTTAAAAGCGCTTAAGGGACATAAGTCAAATTGGTAAAGCAACATCATGTAGTGGACGTCTTAAGAAATGAGGAGTAGGTAGAATGTTAGGTTGCTCCTTTATAAATCGTCTTTTTCTCCGATAATAAGTTGACATCAAGTCTTGAAAATTATTCGAGAAGAATCTCGAATAATTTAGTTGCAGCGTGCCACATGGCTATCTAAACTGCAAACCCTACCCATTGCTGAGCAAGGCCTTTATCTTCTCCGACGAGCTACCGTTCACCGAACCTTGACTGCGGCTTTGTTAACAAGGTTTGGCCGGTAGAGGGTCCGCAGTAGTCCCATTACCTTAGTATTGCTGTTCCACTACTACAGAAATAATCCCGATAACACTCGACCTCTGCCTGATCCAGAGGATATCACCATTTTACCTTCACACAGACATCGAACGCTGTACGAAGATGACGATCAGACCTCATTATTAATAGAAAAAGGGAATTAATATTTTAAACACACGTTAAAAACTTCAACAGTTTTTTAGATTCGCACTTATAATCTTTGTAAGTGCATAGAAACTATCAACAAATAAGCAAAAATAGAACAAACCATTTAATTATCATTTTACTAATTCGGCTTATGGACAAGCTGTTGGGGGCAAATTAAGTTAAGACAAATTAAGCACAGGCAATTAATTAGCTAATACAACACAGTGAAGAGAATAGCTATTTGATAGCGAATTTACTGTTTACAATATTATTATAATAACGAATTTTCAAATTAACCTACTGTAATTTACAAATAACATTAACAAATATATAACTAATTACAATCAAAAGTATTGTTATTTCTTGAGAATATATTCCGATTACCAGTCTTTACATGACCACAATGAATGTTAGTTTATCATACTGAGAAAATTGATTGAGAATATAATATATTGTGTCTTAACTTAACAAATTACGATGTTCTGCAATTAAAGTAGCACTGAAATAACAACGAAACAAAGCTGGGGTTAAGACAAAACCGTCAAATTAGCAATAATAAGTGAATCATCGCTTCACTAACTCGTAAAACATAAAAACATTTAAAAACTGACAGACTTCCCACAGTCACACATTCCCGACCACGCCCTCAATCAAAGATTTACAAAAGTCAGTGCTGGGAAACTCGTGTATCGAGTACATGACAATAGATATAAAGATGAACCCAAAGGTTAAGGATGCCATCTTGAAGAGCTGGTTGATGTGACGGTGAGAGAATTCCGGGGCTACAATCTCCAGGAATGTGACCTGTACGAACGTTCCTGGGATAGTAGGTGGTAAGTTTTGATAAAATAGGAAATATAATATTCACTACCCACGTATTAGTACCACGCAACCCCCGAATTACACTTGAATTACAGCCTGACGTGATATTAAGGTTAATTTGATCATAATATTATTACTTATATTGGAATGGTACAGCGGGTACAGTGATGGGTCCGTGCATTTTATATGAGCAAATCAATACCGTACTTCAAGCAAAAGATACTTGTTTACGCATAATACCGCTGACAATAGTTTTTATTGTGATTGAACTCATGAACAAGGAACATCTTGTAGTTAATTTATAGAATCTCCGAAATGTTCAGTCCAGATATATGCAGAGTAAAGTAACCTGTAGTTAGTTAGTTACTAGTTACTAGTTACTAGTTACTAGTTAGTTACCTGTAGCCAGAGCTTTTAGTACGAATACTATTTTAGTGAGAGTGACGTCAGTAAAATGCTCCACCACCAACATTCCAATACCAATCCCCACAGGGCACGAGATAACGAAGATGGAGAGGGAGATAACAAACTGTTTTATGGTGTGTTTGTCTACATAGAGTTTCAATCCTAGCGCAAATGCCAGGCATACCTGATAGATTTTAAGTTATATTGATGGAGAACTTTAAGTTCTTATGATAAGATTGATTATTCATTATACATACATATGCATATTAACTAAAACTTAAAAATAAGCCCTAACATTTGTTATCTTTGTTAAAAGATGAGACCTGATATCTTGTACAACAATACTTCCCAACATAATGACCTCGTGAATGATAACAGATAAGAACAGTGTGATAAGATCCTCTACAGTATCAGCTAGTCCTATAGCAATACCCTCCAATATAGAGTGTATTGACAGAGCCACCACCAGAATGTAAGCTCCCCAACCTAGCTCCTCCGTCTGAGGGGATTTAATTGTTTAATTGTTATTTAGTTACTTTCCAGCCTAATATAATTGTTTGATCTTTAGAAATGTTGCGTCTTTTGTTAAAAATAAGGAAATACCTTGGTCAGTACGCTCTATGACACTTTGAGTAGAATACCATAACAATGTACATTGTACAATGTACTCTACAGTAACTACGTGTTCAATGTACACTTAAAGTCAGATGTGGTATGTATGAGTAATCTAGTTGAGCTACAACAGTGTATTAGAGCAGTTTGGGTCGACCTTCCCATTAATTGATTATTGAAGGATAAGAGACTGAACTCACAACAAATCACATATCCACACTGTCCCTTGATCAGCCAAGAGAAAACTAACAAGTTTTTTTTGCACAGTACGAAAGTTCTGTATTTTGCATTTGAAAACGAAAACGAAACTTGCGACAAATACCAATTAACCAATTGCTTTGAACCGCTATCGAATAATTATTCTATGCTGTCTGAAATCGTTCTACAAAGTGTATTGTAGCTACATAGATATTATTTATCATGCAGTCTAGCTCAATATCAAGACGCGTCACTTATCGCTTCATACGTAGTGTTGACTGTTGGAACTGTGTACTGATTAGCAACCAGTATACACTATCAACACATGAAGCTAATCTCAAACTGCACAACTAACCATAGCAAAATGAGAGGTGTGACTGTGACCTCCCCCACCATGACCATGCCCTCCTCCACCATCATGGCTGTGTCCGTTCAGTGCCTTGTGGTTATGCGGATCAAACAGCGCGGCTCCCTCATCGTCTTCATCCTCTATCCTTGCTTGTATCTTTACTTCGTGTGCTATGTGTTCATACTCTGCTGCCATGTTCTCTATTATCATTACTGCTATTAGACCCACACAGATTAGCAGCTCTCCTATTGGGTAGGGGGAGTCCATTCCTACTGCACATCTGAACTTAGCTGCTGATTCTGATACCTGAATATTAAATAATTACAACCTGGATATCTCTAAAGTGTGCAAGTTATTTAGAATTTAATTCGTCATATCTTCAAAGAAAATGTATGTAAGAGCTCTTAATTTCTTATTCGTAATCCCATTTAAAATACTGTAAATAACAATAGTAGTAATAATAACCTCAGGAAAGAGATGAATGAATGTAGTACCAATGAGGACACCCCCAGAGAAAGCAGACAGCAGACTGACATGACCTTTACTGATGCTGTTACCTAGCAACAGAGGGGCGAATCCAAACAAGTACACTCCAATAATAAGACTCACTATAGATATTAACTGCCATACCAGTAGGGATTCCATTGTCAGCTACAAAGTGAGATAAGATTAGAGGAAACAAAATCAAAAGAGGGATACAATATATTATATATACCGTCAAATAGCTGATGCAATATTGATATTTATAAATTTGCGAGTCTAAATTCTGACACTGTGAGTGTTACAAGGGAAAAAGCTAGTATAACAAATTGTCTAACTTTCTAAATAAGTATAACAAGACAAAGGTGGTATAATCTTATAAGACAAAGGACAACTGCCCAGGTGTCCAGTGCGGTGTGTGTAGTACTCTGTCAAAAAGGCTCTTCGGGTGCTTGTGAGTGTTGAAATGCAATTTAAGCTGTAAAAGTGACGTAATAATAACAAATGAGGCACATCTGCTCTCATTCTACTTAGCCACCTGTTTACAAACTTACTCGTAGCGTAATCATTTTGAAACCCCCCTCGGCTGATTACGTAATATGTGAACGACCCCTTACAAACTCACTCTGTCTTGTGAAAACACGTACTATTTCAAACTGAATAGAGAAGCAGTAAAACAATGTGACAACGGATAAAACCAATCTATAAAAACTCAAATAAAACTACAAAAACTATCAGTGCACCTTTACGATGACTCCTCTGGTTTAGTTTCCTCGGGTTTCATAGCTGGGAAGAGAAGCACCTCCTTGATATTATAAGAGTTAGTTAGGAACATGACCAGTCTGTCTATGCCTAGTCCGAACCCTGCTGTTGGGGGGAGGCCGTACTCTAATGAAGTACAGAAGTTCTCATCTATAAGCTGAGCCTCGTCATCTCCCGCTTCTTTATCAAGTGCCTGGTGGAGAGGGGGTTAGTGGAGTGGTGGAGGGGGATTTACAAAGATGAGGAGAGGTTAGTTCTACTACAACTCATTCAGTAGAGTGGTGGAGACTGGAGGGGGATTTACAAAGATGAGGGAGGTTAGTTCTACTACAACTCATTTAAAGCTGGTATAACATGGTAAAACTATCAGCAAAATAACAATCTGAAGCAAAAACACGGATCATATACACTGCACACCAACTAACATCAGATCATGGGTGCAAATAACAGCGCATCGCTTTCATTACAAGGGCACAAATGTGCGAGCAGGTCAGATTACTATTTCATGAAGAAAACATAATGTATAAAGAATTAGTCAATTAATTACCTGTTTTTCGAACTGAGCACGTTGCACAAACGGATCGTTCAACTCTGTGTAGGCGTTACAAATCTCCTGAAAGGACAGGACACGGTTTTAACATTATCAGGAAATATTGTGGTAATTTAAGTAATAACTTCGCTAAGTTTTTCTAAAGGAACTTGATCTATTAAGTCCCTTGTATCATTAAAAAAGTCTCCACTTCAAATGTTGTGGGGAAAGTGTGTGAAGAGCTGGTTTAAGTCTGGTATCCTTTGGAGTTACAAGCTGTATTGAGATGTGTGATATGTTGCAACAAACGGTAGCTACAAACAGCAATATGTCTAATCCAATAGAGATTCTGAGGTAGATACAGCCCAGAAAATATTATGTTTTGAATAACATCCAAAGTCTAATCAAAACAGGCCACATGAGTCACAAGCCGTGTTTTAATTCATTGTATGTTTTGTGAGATATAAGACGTATGGAGAGGGGGAGAGCTAAAAGGAGAAGGATGGTAAATTCTGCCCACATTTTGCGATGGCTAGAATCCTGAAGAGTACATGTCTCAATAACGAAAATGGCGGGAATAATTAAACAATTCATACACACCATCTCCGAATGTTTAGTTAAAGTTTAGAATACCATCTCACACTACACACGTGCTATTACCAGGCTTGTAATGGCCTAGATTGAGAGTCCGGTACATTAGTATCCTGATTATAGTGGGTGTAATAGTGTCTACCCCATTTTAGGTATAATACTTTGAGCCACCATTAAATTGTGAGTTCGTTCTTAATTAAAAAGTTCAATGTAGAGTGTAGACCCCCCCCCCCCCGCCCCGATGTAGATTGTAGAATCTACATTCCCTATGTATTGTAGATAGTTTAAGCTTGGATATCCTTCAACTCTAAAGCACGAACTTAACAACAGAGCTCAAACAGCAAGACTATCATTAAACATCCAGCCATGATAACCTCTCAACCTTTGGTCTATTTGGAAATGAACCGGCAGCTAGAAGGTGAACAAAGCATGCCCCAATGTTAATCCCAGCCACGTGGCGTTTATGAAACGAGTACAGAACGTTTCAGAGGGGTCAATGCTGAGGTGGATAGAAACCTCATAGACCGGAAGCCTCATGGAACTTGAAATTAAAATCATTAGTTTCAGTGTACTATCAAATACTGAGGTCATCTTACTTTCAATACTAACGTTCTATCTTTTTAAAGTTTTTTCCCTCAAGAACCTAACAACAGACCACCACCACCACAACAGACGCATATCACAGTATTGATGTTGAACACTAGAAATTTAGAAATACATGTAAACTATAAGACGTCTGTCTAAAAAGTTAAATCACCACCAGCATCAGTGTTTATTAATATCTGAACAACATTCAACCACTTTTTTCGCCTTAAAACAGTTAATTTAAACGTACGGTTCTGATTACAGGCTCTAATGATGTAGTTTTACGAAGATTTAAAGCCTTACATTGTGTGCTTCCCTTCGTGTCCAAAAGCATTATAAGATAAAAGATAATTTGTGATATAAGTTCACCTTTACCACGGTGAAAAATATTAACCATAGAACCTTCAACCTGTAATCCGTAGAATATAACAAACCTTGGTGGCAACAAACAGCTCAAAGCGTTCTGTCAGTCCAGGAGTAGTTCTGTGGTATTTAGCCAGAGGGCACATGATCTGAGGCTGCTCTATTATGAAGGTTGGGTTGTTACATTGGACTTCTATCAGGTCTCCTACCTGTAAAGTTGAGGAATGTTATTTATCAGATTCTGTATTTAAAACTATTCGATAACTATTTATTGTTTACAGAATATACTGGTTATTGAGACGGATCAGCATTATTGAAGGTGAACAAACCATTTTATCAAGAAGTCTTGCGGAGGTTCGTGGGGCGGAACAGTCGATGTTATTTTTAGTACACACGTCACTAAGGAACTCTCTTGCAGAGTCTGACTGAAGTTCGGCAGCGGGAGGGAACTTAACTCCCAACAGTTTCTCCAGTTCAGGAATCATTGGTATTCTCCTGGAATGTGAGAATAGTGGTACAGTGAGACGAACCGAAATCAAAGAGAGCAACAAATCACATAGATACCAAATAATGAGCATAGCAGACGGAGAAAACATCTCTAATGATTATTATTTTTAAAATCTGATTAATATATTATTACAAGTACTAATGAGCTGTTGCTTGATTAATAAGTTTAAAAGAACTAACTTGAAGGGAGGAGTAAAGTCCATGATGATAGGTTCCTCAGCTCCCATTGGTGTAAACTCTACCTTATAATCTCCTGTAATAGCCTTAGCCATCCCAGACAGCATTTCCTCAGCCATCTCCATCAAGTCATTGTAGTCTGCGTACGCCATGTAGAACTCCATTGAAGTGAACTCAGGGTTGTGAGTCATGTCAATACCTTCATTCCTAAAATTCCTCCCGATCTCGTAGACCCTGTCCAGGCCTCCAACTACCAACATTTTCAGATATAACTCAGGTGCTACCCTCATGAACAGGTCCATGTTTAGGTCGTTGTGATGGGTTACAAAAGGTTTTGCTGTTGCTCCTCCGGCGACCATGTTCATCATTGGTGTCTCCACCTCCAGAAATCCTAGATTGTCCAAAAATTTACGAACATAATTGATGATTTTAGAGCGGGTGTAAAATTTAGTTCTCACATCCTCGTTCATAATGAGATCAAGATAACGTTGCCTGAATCTGGATTCCTTATCCTTGAAACCATAGTGAAGTGTGGGCAGCATGTGAAGACAAGGAGTAAGAATGTGCACTTCCTGAGGGATAATGCTAAGTTCTCCTTTCTTTGTTTTTCCTGGATGACCAGTGCAACCAATGATATCTCCCCTGTGGACTCTCGAGTGGACAGCTTCAAAGTCTTGCGTAGAGAATGAGGCATTGGCCATTACCTGAATCTTTACACCTTCTCCTCGCAGATCGTAAAACCTGGAAAGATCATAAATATAGACTGAAAATATAATATAAAATGTGAACAATGTTGAAGTCCAAACAACCGTACTGGACTTATAGTTTTTCTACCCGTGTTAAAAACGTAACAGCTCAAGCACAATTCAGGAATACACACAATTTTAGTTCACAAGATACAGGGAAACAGAAACTTAAAATTATTCGACACAATTCAATGAAAAATAAAACAAACCTGAGTTTAGCTCCAGACTCCCTGATAGAATGTACTCGACCAGCCACTGACACTACTTCTTTTGAATGTTCCCCAGCCTCCAAGTCTTTGTATTTCTCAATGTAAAGACTCAGTGAATCAGTGACATGGAATTTGTGAGGGTAGGGTGTTTCTCCAGCATCCTTGTAACCTAGAATTTGTTTGCATCGGTGTTCATGATACTTTCCAGGATCAAGAGGCTCTTCAACCTTCTTAGGTTTAGCTCCCGTAGAACTTTCCTCAGCAGATTTGGCAGCGTCTTTTGCAGCTTTTTCCTTGGCTTTCTGCTCCAACTTTGCCCGTCGTTTCATCTCATTTTTGCTGAGTTTTGGTTCACCCTCAGACATGTTTGAAGAAAAGTACCTAAACAAAATAAAGTGAGGTTATGAAAATCGGGAATCATGTCATTGAGGAATCAATGAAATCATAAGTTTCTATAAAATTATAATATAGTTCAGAATAGAATAGAAAAGAATATATTTATCTGTTTTGCTTCCAATTTAAAAATAAAAAGGCAACTCAAATAGAGAACAACTTTACACTTCAAATATAGTATGATCTCATTTAATACCAACACACCTTATTCGTGTAGCACAAACAGGAGCGACTTTTGTAAGATATGCTGGTCTTAGGAGTTGATTGAAAAGGGGCACCCACACTCCCGTCTTAGCGCTAAGAAAATTATTGAGTAAATAATTTTACTTTAGCTTTTACAATAATATAATTGGTCACATCATATGTGATATGAAAAAAGAAATGCAATCATGTTTCCTGTGTGGGGCAGGCGTCCACTAAATTTCCCAATCCATGTTGGCATCTCATATTATCTTTCTTTAGGTATATAAAGCGAGACGAGATTATTATGCATATATGTATGTTTACATATCCGTACCATTTTACTGACAACACGGCATCAACTTTAACACAATGTTCCACAAAAACCGTAAAAGATATAAAACTGAAACTTTTTTGACAAGGTGAAATGCCTTAATGGCCTTCAAATCAGCATACAAAGTTAAAAATTGGCCAAGGAATAAGAAATTTAGTGCCCAAAATTTGGACCTCCAAGTGGTGTCAAAAACGCAAATTAAATAAGTAATAATTATTTTAGTCTCTTGAGTCTTGACACCATTTTAGGGTTAGACGAGTTCCTGCTAGAATAACTTGTACAGAATAATTCTTTTAATTATAACATAGATAAAAATACTGTTTGAATAACCATTTCATTATTTAAAGTAAAGTAAAAGTTCCAATAATCAAATCATAAAACTCCAGTCAAATAGCAGTCATTCGAAAGAACATTCTTTGACATCAGGGTCACTCATCCTAATTGCGAATAAATAATAATAATAATAATAATTTAGACTTATAGATTAATATAGTGACACAACAACTTAAAATGCATAGGTTTACATTTAAGCCACTGGATAAAATCTACAGTGCGCATGAGAAAGAGAAGAAAGATCTCTATAAAGAGAGAGTAATTCAGACAGATAAGAGAAAGGGTCCTTTAGGAAAACAAATTTTAGGAAAACAAATTTAAATTTTGGTATTTATTAATAACAATCAAAACATATCATATCATAAAAATAAAGCCGCGCGTTGGTTGACTGCCTCAGTAAGGTGAATAATATAAGCTCGAAGGTGCCCTGCGCATTTACAGAACCTCATGCGGCGATCACATGATCATGAGGACCTGTGAGCGCCAAATTTAATTTAAAGTTTCTAGAAATCATACATCACTACGAGTTACTCATGCTTTTTTAATTTTTATAGGAGTGTAGATTGTCAGCTATTTCATTCATTCATACTTAGTCGGTTTAAAGCTGTATATTTAGAACTCACTATTGTTTAAACTATGAAAGCAGAACGTAGGTAATGGACAATATACCGACGACAATACCAAGGACCCGAGTGCCACAATGACTTGTCCCACTAGTCTCTACAATATCTGGAGGTATGGGTCCATGCCACTTTGCACTGTGTTTGTAGATCGTATCTCTGAAAGGATAGCTGACCACAATAAAGAAGCTAAGAGCCAGGTCAAGAATCACATCAGAACACGATTCAGGTTTGATCTGCTACGAAGCACTCTCATAGCACTCAGGGGAATCAGAGGAAGACAAAAAGACCAGCACCTTGGACTGGATAACTTATCCTTCAATCTCATACCTCAGAAGACGAGCTATGAGGTCTCTTAAGTTTGTTTGTGTACATTTTATAGATAATTTATTGTAGCTTTTATATTGTGTAAAATTTTACGGACGAAATGATCCCATACCAGGTAAGGGGGACTCCCAACCCACCGCCTCAGCGGGTAGTTGATGCACCTTTCACAAGCAAGAGCCACTTTGGTCTACTGGCTGTGAGGTGTCTCAGCTACATGGGTTGGGGGTCCCCCCTTTTCTTTTCGAAAGATATATGTCACAAATGAAGGCTGAAATGAAAGACTTACGAGAGAGTGAAACAAAACACTTTGAATATCTAAAGAGGAATTTAACGGAGAATATGGGAAATTTATTAGCTAAGGGGGTTCCCTTGATTAACAAAGTATTCTCAAACCCACAAGCTGACAGTGGCATGGATGAAGCACTTCGCACACTGCAGAACATAACGGAGGAAAATAAAAGCATCCTAAAAGAGATGAACAGAGTAGACTTCAAGAGAACTGTAATTGGACATCAAGGTGTTTCTACAAGACACACAAACCTGGATCTTTTCAGTACCATAGCAGAAGATAAAACACATGAGGGCAAACAATACTACATTCACCAGCCATCAGAAACCACTGTTAATGACTCCACGACAGTCCTAGTCTCAAGAGGACTCTCAAGAAATTATCTTAAAAACAGTGCAACTATTAAGAGAAACTTCAATAGATATTTTAAAGATATGGCCATAAAATCGACATTTGTCACCAAAGGTGGATCATTGATGATTGAGCTCACATCTAAAGAGGATGCAATAAGAGTAGAAGGATCATGGAAAGGTGATTTCTTTGCAAACAGTAACATGACTACAGAATGCAGGATCTTAGAAAAGCTAAGCTGGGCAGTCATTCTCAAAGGAGTACCCACAAACATTCAGGATAGTGATCTAACAATTTCTGTGGAAAGGTGTTATCCAGGAGCTAGGGCAAAAAGATTTGTGACACGGGACAACATTTCTCTGAAAACTCTTAAGATCAACTTTCAGACTAAGGAAGACTATGAGAAATGCTTAGGAAATGGGTTAAAGCTCGGACAGGTAATTTATACTGCGGAAGAGTATAAGCCGAGAAGGAGAATCATCCAATGCTACAATTGTTACAGGTTTGGCCATGTTGCTAAACTTTGTACCCAAAACCATGCAACATGTAGCAAATGTGGAGACAATCACCACTCATATCAATGCAAGAGTAACCGAAGAGACTACTGTATTAATTGTGATGTCTTTGGCCATGTAGCTACAAACAGAGATTGTCCAACATACCAAAATATTGTCATGAAACTCAACATGCAACCAAACAAATGTTCAAAATCACCCACACAACCCAACAGTAGATTATGATCTTTGGCCAAATAAATATAGCAAAGATGTCAACTAACTCTGAGATGACACTTGACAAGTTTATCTACGAAAATGAGATACTCTTGATGGCGGTTCAAGAAACAAGCTCTTGGACTCAATCAGACGGAAGTTTCCTTCATAAAAAGGTATTTCATAAAGCTGGGGACATAAATAAAGGGACAGCTGGGGTAGCACTCGTCATTGATCCTTCACTACATCCAGAGTTGGTCTATGACCTTAACGTAGACGAAGTTGATGCGGTTTGGTGCCAAATAAAAGTTGAAGGAAAGAGATATTTGGTGGGATCAGTTTATTGCAAACCTTGCAATAACTCTAATGATTCCATAAGAAAATTTGAAGGACTTCTTGCCCAAATTGATAAAGCAAGAGAATATAAGGCTAAATATAAATTCAACTCTCTTCTCACATATGGAGACTTTAATGCAAGACATCATGACTGGGGAGATCATGTTACCACGCAGCGAGGAAAGAAGCTTCTAGACTACGTTGAAAAGGAAACCCTAACTCTCTGCTCACCATACGACTGCACATTTGTCTGTACAAATGGAGGAAGTGTTATTGACTTAGTGTTAGCCGAAGGCCCCATCATCTCAAAGTTGGGAAATCAGTGGATGTATAAAGATGTTGAATTATTTTCAGGTGCCCCAAGAAGAGGTCACTATCCGGTGCTTCAAGAAATCTGCAGAGGGATCCCAAAATCAGACACTGTCCCCAGAGTGTGTATGGACTGGAAAAATGCAGACTGGAAAATATGGACAAATGCAATGGAGACCAACTGTCAACATCTTCGTTCGGCCCCAGAGTTATTAAACCGAGGGGATCAGCTATGGCAGCAGTTATTACATAAAATACAGGAGGCTAACTGAATGTTCATCCCTCAGAAGACAGTATCCATTCATTCAAAACCATATTGGTGTCCTGCACTTACAACTCTATCTAATGAAGCTCTAGAAGCGAAAGAAAGATTTAAGCAAATATCAACTCCCAGAAACAAGGCCACACTCACTGAAAGCACTGAATCATTCAAGAAAGCGCTGATTAAAGAAAAGAATGAATGGATTCGTGACAGAGTTGAAACACTTAACACCAAAGACTGCACTCAATTCTGGAGAAAATACAGGGTGGGCCAAAAGTCAGTGTGCAAACGTTGGGTCTTATACCTCCGCCGTGTTTTATATTTGAGAGCTGTTGCTTTGCAGATGGCATACTGTACTTACTGGTTCGAGGATTCCGTCGTCAAAATTTGAAAATTCGAATATTTTAGACCACGCCCATTCAATATTAAAACACCTATATTGTTTTCTCTGAACATGCTGAACGCCTAATTTTTTCAGAGACGGTAGATTATCAAATGTTGCATATGATCTGAAAACATGAGGCAAAACGGATTAGAAATGACGAAGTTATCAAGCATTTTCTGTATCTCGTTAACAAAATTGACTGGGTGATTATGTGACACCGTGACACAACACCTTAATTGGGCACCCTTAACAATTCCCATAATGTTTAACGGGGTAGTTAACGGGGTCACCTTATCACGTGATTAGGTAAACCAATCACCTGATCACACGTAATGAATAAACTCGTTATGCTTCATATCTCGGTCATCTGAGAAGCTACAGTTCTAATTCTTTCAGGACAAACGTAATTCGAATGGCCAAACACAATTCAATAACATTTAGCTTGATCCGACTATCTAAACTATCAAATAAATGTGAAAATGAACCTCCATTTGAAAAAAATGAACGCGAATATTTTTCGAGTTGACAAATTCCTCGAACCAGTGGTGGTACTAAGTCATACCAGAAGGAAGTATTTCAATTGGGCACTCAGTGACTGAGCTATTAAGGCCAACGTTTGCACACTGACTTTTGGCCCACCCTGTATAAACGAGTTTTTGGGGCCAAAACTGACAATTTTATCTGCAACCTCAAAGACTGTGACTTGCTGGTCACATCTGAAAAAGATAAGGAGGAATTGTTATTTAATACTTTCTTCACAGGAAAACACCTTCAAAACCAACCCAATGACCGAGAGCACGACATGCATGTAAATAACGAGTTCAGTAAATTACAGAATGTTAGCAGCAAATCTGCAAGTAGTTACAATGA